AACAAAAATACAGTACAGTATTGCAGTATTTTCAGAGAGCTACGGTAATTTCACGTTTGGAAGGTCTATTTGAACCAGAAGACAATTTCCTTGCGTGAAAATCATTGCACATGTAACGAGTCGAACCCTTTTTCCTTTTTTTCCCCTTTCTTCAGGAATTGACAGACTGTTTGATAAACATTGGATCGCTGCGTCGCGGATTTGTGCGCGAAATAGCATATCTGAAGCAAAGGTTTTTCTTCCTTCGTCGTGCCCGATAAACGCTTGGCAGCTGTCCAAATAGGATATTTTTATGGATGCTATTTGCGGTCGATCGCTTCGTGACGTATTGTCCATCTTTTCGTGAAGGTTGAACGTTACATAACGCTATGCAGCGTTTTCGAACGTTTTTCCGATCGTTACACGAGTTTAGATACGTGTGGAGACGGTATTAAATGGAGCTACGCGTAAAATCGGGAGAGAAGCTTCATGAAGTTGAAGAGTGTTCAACTCTTGAAATGCATCAATTAGTTTTTTCAATGCTTGGCGATTGGATTTTTATGGAAACCTTTTCTGCGCGAGATGCAAATATTTTTTTTGGCATATAAAAGGGCGAATAAGAACCGTGTACTGTTCATTCACGCTATTATGCAATGAACTTCAGTCAATTGCTATTTTTCGTTTCATCCTTCCGAGCCGCCAGAATTTTCACACATGGAAATAGTAGTGCAGAACTCTAGTTTTTGCGCGAAGAATTATGAATAGTGTGTGCCAGAATGAGGAAAAAATAATGCGTGAATACGATGAAAACTCCTGGAAAGGTTAAAATGTTTTGTCTCTCACATTTGTGGTGAGTGCATTTTTAAGAACTGGAGGCAGGATTTTACTGTGCTCTGTGTCAAATCAGATCTACGATACTGTATAGTAAAAGTTTTTGGACTCATGCGCAGTGGGTGCCTGTGGAGAAAAACGAAACAGTTTTCGTGATCATATTTTGAACTGGTCAGAGTTCAGAATATCATTCGGCGGACTTGGTTGAAATGCCAAGGAAGCAAGAGTTTAATTTCTCGTCTCGAGATGAAGTATTTTCTTCGTCGATTCGGTGTGTCATGAATAAGTTTATGGCCGATTCCCTACTTCTTGCAACCTTCATATTTCTCTCATCATATTACTGTGTTTGTTGACGTGTAACATTCTGAGAGCGGATCGACGTTTTCATGCGAGGATGACAAATGCAGGATTGTAGATTGATGGTACTTCGCCATGGTTGGAGCTGTGGGTGGTCTGTATATTAGTTGGACTCCATGTTTAGTCATGCACCTTCAACTTGCCGGTTTTTGCCATGGACGGGTTTCATGGTCTTCACTTTCTGACAGAATGGGACTGAAAGCAGTCGTCTGTATCTCAGATTGCCTGTAAAAGCAGCTGTAATTCGGAGTCCTGTTCGAGGTTTGGCGTAGAATGAATAGCATCGAAATTTCCATCGGTTTATTATTGAGCTTCCTTTCTTCAGGTTGAAGAAAAAAAAAAGGAGCAGCAATACCTAGAAAATTTACTTTCATGTGAACGGTCTTCCAGCAGGAAAATTGCACGGTTTTCAAGTTTCATTGCCAAGGGTTCGATATTGTGTGTTCATGCAATCTCCTCCATTCTTTGGAACTAAAATTGAAATATAGGGCCAAGGTTTTGTTAATTCACGAAGGAGAGGGACTCGAAAAAAAGCTGTGTGTGAAGTGCACCGCGAATAACCTGAAAAGCAGAAGAAAACTTCCGCTCAAGTTTACTGAGAAATTCAATATTGCGTGAAAGTTTTACGGAAGTTTTTAGATTGGAAATACAGTATGGGGGAAATTTATGTGCAATTCAACATCCATGAAATCAGGGTTTCATATACTGTTCCATGTTGATGGATTTATAAATTTTCAAGGAAATATGTAGATCCGATGGAGGAGGTGTGGTTTTACGGGAACCCGGATATTGATTTGGTCAAGTTTCAGCACACTTTGTGTGTACAATGGAATTGCTGGGCTGAGGTTGATTAGTTGCTGCTGCATTACGTAACTTCAAACATGAGAACGGATTTTTTGGCTGATATGAATTGATGATTGAATTCTAGGCGATCGTTGTACAGTTTAATCGCCGTATTTCCTCGAATGAAAGACGCCATCATTTATTGAAACGTTCTGCTATTCTTGGTTCATTTAGAAGTACGAACAATTTTACTTGGGTATCAGACTCCATTTTATCGCTATATATTTCTTCAGTCTGTCGCTTATGCCATACTCATACTTCATTCGCCCGCCCGAATCATCGGAAACTTCAGGATGATTCCGCTTTTTCAATAAAAAAAACCGCAAATATTGTAGAGGTGGACTCTCTACAAAGAATTTCTCTGCATAAGGATTTTTTTGTGGTCCCATAGGGATCTAGAACCACACGCTGACGTGATTCTCTGCAACGAATGTGTTTCCGGTCCTAGAAGTTCGTTGTGGAGAGCGTCCACATGTTTTTGCCAAAAGGCCCCAGAAAATTCGAGTTATGGACGCTTGAGATGAAAAGCCTTCGATTTAGAAAGCTTTTTTATGGATCTTTCCTTGGGGAATTCAGACGGAGACTTGAAAACAAGCAAAGCTAGAAAATTGACGTAGGGAGGTTCGAGTTATCGAGTTTCAACTGTAATATTATTGTTACTACTCGATCATTATTGTTATTACTGTACAGAATAGTATTGTTATTGCTGTAGTATTATTTTTATAACTGTAATATTATTGTTATTACAGTATTGTGTTGTTATTGTGATTATTATATCATATCATTTTAATCTTTATTTTTATTACTTTTTTTTCTCCATCTCAGACGTTCCGTTGAGCGCGCACCTGGACTCGCTCCTTCTTGAGTTGTCGAGGACGGAGACAAGCGCAGAGCAGTCGCAGCGGAACCGGTTGAGCGGCGGCGACGGTGGCACGGAAGAAGAAGACGAGTCGGAGCGGTGTCCGTCGCGCGGGAGCAGCCGGGCTACGGGTTCGGGTGTTGCTGGGGGTTCGTCCCGATCCAAACCCGGGTTGGGTTCTCCGAAGGCATCGAGCAGTGGACGGTACAAGGACCGATACCGGGACAAGGCTCGACGGAAGGCCAAGTGGGATCGTCGGGACGGGAGGAAGTCGTCGTCGCGGGTCGACAGCACTGCTTCGTCGCCGGCTCGGAATGGATGTGAGTATCATTACTGTATTGTCATTGTAATCAGTATTATTACTGTTGGGCGATTAGTGCGTATTTTTGCGACCGTATTCACTCCGACGGCCGTTGATGTCGGAGTTATTTTTTTGATATGCTTAATTTTATCCAAAACGTATCGGTCTTCGGAAATTTTCTAGGATGCCAAGTTGATTCTGCGTTGAATTAACTGTCGCGGAGGGGAAACGTTTTTTTGTTTGTTGGGTAAATCGAAATTTTTAGAGCGCTTTTGTATCATTTTCTGACAACAATCTTAATTTTCCCACCCCCAGATTGAAATTGCCTTGAAATTAGGGAACTGAGATTTAAAGTTGCACACTGTAATCTGTAAGGTAAAGAAGGACAAAGCTCGTCTTTTCATGAATTTCAGGTAACCCTGAATATTTTAAAGGGTTTGCAAATCGTTTCTGTGTTGTACCTTATTCGACAATGTAACGTCATGTTTGTCGTTGATGCTGAATGATGTAAGTAAAGGCTACCCTAGAATTATTCGGAAACCGGGAAGAGACTCTTCGCTACCTCAGCTCAGACCGAAACTTGCACCAATCATTTTAATTTGATCCAAAGCCTGAAAATATAATCTTGAGTGAAACTTTTCATCTCATCGTGCTGAGAGACTGTATCGACCGACATCTCAAATCGTTGAAAATGTTCCTGAACACTTGATATCAATTCCCCCGCGGAAGAAAAAGGTATCCCCTTCTTCGCTGCAACTTGCTTGAAGTTATTTGCGGGGTATATACCGGTTTTATCTGCTGAGTGTCTCACCCATTCGCGACTCGAGGGTGTTCGATTTCAGTTATCCTGAGTTGACTCAAGAGGAATACGATGGGGAAGCCTGACCTAATTTCAGATGGTCGTTGCCCTCGTACGCATAGCTTGTCGAGGAAATGCGAGGGAAAAGCTCTTTATCGTAGGAACGTATAGATAATTATTTATGGAACGCTACATTTCGTGGAATGAAGTGTCTTCAAACATCTCTCATCTGTCCAACATTCGATACTGATTTTGAATTTTGTGTATCTCGTATCGATTGCCGGTTGTTGGCACAAGTGTCTCAGTGTTCCGCCAATTTTTAGGATTCTTACGTCCTTCAAGTTTGCCAATCGAGTATCGATTCTTGCGTTTTCGTTATTTTCCGCAAGCGATGTCCGCAAATATTCACGATCTTCCATTTTGAAGACAGAGTTACTATTGAGTAAATAGCAAGAGTTTAATGACGGGCTAAAGTAAAGTTGTTCAAATTTTGCACGAGATCAAGTTACTGCGTGAAATGCTCGAAAACATCTGGAATTATCGTGAACTTGTGTTTGAAAATTAGTCAGGGAACTAAATGATGTACAATATATCAATTAACCGTATTTTCGAATTAATTTTTCTGAAGCATCGTCAACGACAATGCGACTAACCCCCTAATTTTGAGTACAG